AATTTTTGTGAAAAAAAAAAAAAAAAAAAAAAACAACAACAACTGTAGTCATAGGCAGACATGCATCGGTGGCCATGTGGTCACAAATTCAAATTCCTTACCTACTCAATCCCATAGAGTCCAGTATCTCAATAATCCTAGGTTTGTTGGTTTGTTTGTTTCTTTTTTCGTCTGTCCTTTTTGGTGTAATCACTTCAATATAAACTTCCTTTGGCAAATCCTGCTTTCTACGAAACACTTGTAAAGACGCAACCTTGAGTAGATGTTGCACGCGGCTGGAACATAACCACGAATCAACCTTTGAACAACTTTTGCCATTGCCTACGGGAGGCGATGTATGAAGCAAGACGAGGCAAAAACAAAAGCTAGATTATGCCAGCAGGAAAGACCTTTTGTTGTTTTTGTGTTAAACTTATATTCTTGTTACCCTTGCGGCTTATGTGTCAGGTTACGTAACGTCGCAGGCCTGTTTCGAAAACATGATGATTTACCTCAGTGGCTCCATCTGATATAGGATTTGTTCGTTTTGATGACGGTTGATTCAACCTCAGGAATGATTAAACAGAAATTTCCCTTTACAATCGATACATTTTCACGTCGAAGGATAATGAAAAGATATCAAACAGCGGTTTCACACTATCCAGAAAAGCTGAACAACGATTATGTCAGTTTTTCCAGATAACATCCCTATATTCCATGAGTGGTTTAATAAGCCTTTTGTTCAAAGATATTAACGCGGATCTTTGAAACATTACAGCATATTTAATCGTTTAGAAGCTTACCAATTGGCGACGGGAAATCTGACTGGCGATGTATGAAGCAAGACAAGGCAAAAACAAAAGCTTGATTATGTCAGCAGGAAACACCTTGTGCTATTCTTGTGTTAAACGTATATTCTCGTTACCCTTGCGGCATATGTGTCAAGTTACGTAACGTCGCAGGCCTGTTTCGAAAACATGATGATGACTTACCTCAGTGGCTCCATCTGATATAGGATTTGTTCGTTTTGATGACGGTTGATTCACCCTCAGGAATGTTTAAACAGGAATTTCCCTTTACAATCAATACATTTTTCCGTGGAAGGATAATGTCTTAGAAAAAGTCTTTAAAAAATCGTGCCATCGGCATTTTAAGTTCAGTTAAGTGTTCTTTATCAACTTGGGGATATAAATTTGCATCATTGACAGTAGATAACACTGAGCAATACTGGAAGACTAAAGAAGGTTCGAAAACTTGGCATTATAGTTCTCATCACCGACCGCAGCTTGACTCGTACGTCATATCCGTCAATTGTTCTTAAGTCAAAGGGTCACTGCCCAATTGCCTATCGGATGTTGCAATCATGCGTGCTCTAGAGTCTGAATCGGCGTAACAATTCCTTGCCCATGTACGGCTGGGTTTTCAACAGGGCCTGAAGTGAACCACAGATCTGGCTCACGGACAACTGCAAAAAATAAGTTTTACACGACATTGCGGGACCAAATTACCTTAGTGTCGTAGAGATGGCTCTATTCCAAGGCGAGGTTAATTTTATTCCATTTCAATTTAAAAAAATGTGTTTACCTTGACCTTGTTGGACAAAAATAGCATAAGGGGCCGTTGAAATTTGATTTGATTAAACCTCGGAAGTTGCAACAAAGGTTTTATGATGATACAAATTAAACAACTTTCAGATACGCCGACATCACCCAAATCGGCCGGTAGTCACTGTCAAGGATTTTGAATCTCAAAAGGAGCTGAACAAATGAACAGAACATTTAACAAAGCAGTTGCATTTACATTCTTTTTTCTGGTTTCGTATTTAAATCCTCTAGAATTTCGGATAATGCAACAACGGACAAAGGGATCTCTGAAAACCAACAAAATTTGTTACTTGATTGTCTCCATCGACCAAGATATGACCCTAGGACTGCATTAAATATCCTCGATCTTGTGTGGCCTTTATTACGATACTCAGAGCTAGAGTGGTAAGCCTTACATATACAGTGTGCCGAACAAAATGGACCAACTCACATGTACTCTCGCGTGTTTGCATTGTTAGGGATTTGAAATAGGGTTAGTTCATAATTCTACATAATCATCATAGTCAAAGAGCTCTTGGAGCCAGCTCATTCATGTTATGGCTTAAGTTTGTATTGATTTCTTGGACTTATTGAATATAGATACAGGTAAACTCGGTTTATGTGAACTTTCAAGACAGCAAAATATTAGTAACCCTCATCTTTCATTATCATTTGCAGTATTGTGAAATATTCCTTGATATCTTTTGTTTTAAACAAAGCGGCCATATTCCCTTACAAAATTGGATACTAGATTTTAGCTATCTTAAAACTAGTTTACTGAACTATGGATCTAAAATCTACCTATTGACTAGCTATTTCCTAACCAGGTCGCTTGTGTAATCACTTAATCCTAATTCCTATCCATTAACGGGTTATTTGGAACCATGCAGATAGCTCTATCTAAATTCTATCTGAAAAATAAGTTTGTAAAATAACTATTGCAGTAAGTATTTAGGTAGGTATTAGATAGGGTTAAACTAGTGTTTGATGCTCTAATAAGTGAGTTTTCAGCTAGATATATAAAATAGAGATTAGGTAGTTACAGCAACAGTAGTTAGATACAGGACAGAGATGAACTCGAAGTTAGATAACACAGATCAAAATAATAAGAAACTATTCTCGGGTAGATCACAATTAACTAGAATCAAAATAACATTAATCTAAAAATCAGATAGCTGAAAACTAGCCGCGAATCAGGTAGGATTATCAGCAAGTAGAAAGAGAGTGTAAAGCTAGGAATGAGATAGTGGAAAAGTAGCAATGAGATAAAACAAACTGTAATATGTAGATAGATGGCCGATGTGGAACTTGAGCCTTATGTCATGCTGATAAAAGGTAAAACAGCCCTTGGTCTTTGCCTTTCCTTTCTGCTGAGCATGTTGTGACAGCCTCCATGGATACTGTTGCTTTTCATGCTGGATTCAGTGTCAATAACAGCTACACTAGGATTCCGGCAACTACAAGTGCCTTCACTTGCTCACAGTGTGCAGCAACTATCTGCAACACAGGACGAAATTGCAAGAATCCGTAAACGGAAACGTGGCGGAAACATGCAACTCCATGTTTCCGTTATGTTTACGTAAAAGTGGTCCGGTTCCGTTGTATACGCAGCAACGGAAACGCGAGAAAACGTCACGAAACCGGTAACGGAAACACAGGTTATCCGTCGTGTTTCCGGAACCGTTTAACATGTTTCTGCCACGTTTCCGTTTACGGATTCTTGCAATTTCGTCCTGTGCAACTATTGTCGCTTGTTGACTGACAGTTTCCCTCGTTTGAGACCAGGAATTTATATCATTTAAATTTTTTAATGCAGATCACAGGCAAGTTCGATAAAGATTTGACTCAGCTAACAAAGCAATCAATAACATGTGGGTTCATTCTTTGTAACTCTTGGGCCAGATAAACGAGTTTCTAATTAGCCAGGATGACGTGCATGCATAGTGTTAATAATGATCACACTGACTTGAACTTTACTTAAGCTTTGTTTATTCCACTTTACTTACCTTTTGTACTTTTCTTTGTTTTTTTGAGCTTCTTCCCTGGACCTGCATACAGTGAAAGTAAGATAATGTTAAACTTTGAGCAACATTTGGTTTTGCCATCTTTTTTTTTTACCGCTGGCAAGTAATAGAAACTAAGGTATCTGACTATCCTATCTTTGAAACAGTATTGATGTAATGAAACATTTTCAGAAACCTGATGGCTTAACAAAGAATAAAATGTTCCGACTTTTAATTTACTTCCAAGTAGAATCTTGAATTTCCATGAAATGATATGCAATTCATTGACACAATGATCTCTGACCTTGAAGAAATAAGTTTTTTTCTGATTTGTCCTTATCAACCCTTATTTGTTAATGTAATATGTTAAATCCTTTCAGGCAAAAGAAAATTTAATACACTCAAAACACACTACAAACTCCTGACCACAAAATAACTAAATTTGTAACACATTTTGTGATGGAGATCAATAAATCAAAGTCAAATGATCCTTACTGCATTAAGTTCCTTATAATAGCAGTAAAGGTAACACCAGAGTTATACCTATCATTTTCTTTGTGACTTTTCTTTCTCTTTAGCTCAACAATTTGTACATCCTGTTCCTCACCATCAGTTTCTGCAATATTGTACAGAAAAATAATGGATAAAATACCTGTTTATTTATATATATATATATATATATATATATATATATTTATATAGGGGTAGTGGCTAGACCTTGCTTGCTTGGAGCCGGTCTAGAAAAGGAAAAATAAGGCGCTTCCTTCCCTCCACTAGCCTGGGTGGACACCTTGGGCAAGTGTTAGCACACCCTTAGCCTCCCTTAACCAGGGTTACGGTCCCACTGCCTTGTGGTGGCTAGGGATAGCCAAAGGCTAAGGGAGCAAACCCCGACAGAAAAACCGGAGTGGAACCCCGTAAGGCAGTTTTGACGCTATATCATTTACTGGCAACTCCTGCAGTCGACCTGGTCCCGAACGTACTGGCCCTGCCTTTCCTTCGGACTCTACCAGCAAGACCGAGAGGGGGATTCTGGGACTTGGGCAAACCAGTATCTCCATATCAACCGCCCAGGCAAGCGCATGGAGAGGCAACTTCAGCATGCCCTACGGCTTCGCCAGGCATGGAAACAAACCGGGGAGTGGCAGTTACCGGTTCTAAGTCATGGCTTGATTGGCGTAGAGCCAGACGCCAGGGGCCATTCCTGACAGTGGGAGGGGCTTTTTAGCCCCATTGGATAGCTACCGCCCGCTTAAACTGGGCAGCCCCCAGTCAATAAGGTGCTTTCCCGCCACTGCCCGCCTGTCTTGCTGGGGTGAGCAGGACTTAAGTCTGGAAACAGTCTGACAAGTGGGCTGCGACTTATTCACCTAAGAATCAAGGATCTATTAGAAGAAGACCAGCTCTTACACTTGGGAGTTGGAACGTCCGAACGATGCTGACCGGACTTACCAAGGACATACGCGACATTGATGGGGCACGCAAAACAGCTGTCATCAGCAGAGAATTGGTTAGGCTCAAAGTTGATATCGCTGCTTTACAGGAAACGCGCATAGCTGGTTGCGGAAGCCTAACGGAAAAGGAATACACATTTTTCTGGCAGGGTAGAGATGAAGATGAGCCTAGAGTACATGGAGTTGGTTTTGCAGTTAGCAACAAGCTAGTACAGATGGTGGAACCAGGCTCAACCAAGTCTGAGCGCATCATGCACATAAAACTCAATACCGATCTAGGTCCCACCAACTTGCTTTCTGTCTACGCTCCAACCCTGACTTCGAGTACCGATGCCAAGGATACCTTTTACAGCCAATTGGATGATGCTATCAAACATATCCCAAACAACGAAGTGCTGATTCTCCTCGGCGATTTCAACGCTAGAGTGGGCAACGATCAAGGCTCCTGGCCTGATTGCCTTGGTCACTTTGGTGTTGGCAAATGCAATGAAAATGGTCAACGCCTTCTGGAGCTTTGCACCTATCATCACCTCTGTATTACAAACACATTCTTTGGCGTGAAGCTGCACCATAGGTTCTCGTGGATGCACCCCAGATCTAAAAACTGGCACCAACTCGACCTCATCATCTCAAGACGGGAACACCTTAATAACATTCGTACTACAAGGGCATACCACAGTGCTGATTGTGACTCTGATCACTCCCTTGTCTGCACGAAGATCCAGTTACGTCCAAAGAAGTTCCATCGCGTCAAACAATCTGCTACACTTCGCATTAATGCTTCTGCCACTGCCATCCCTGAAAATGTCTCTATTTTCAACGACATCCTGAGCTCGAAACTCGGAGACTGCCTGGAGCTTAACACAGAGGACCACTGGAGCCATATCAAGGACACCACCCTTGCTGCAGCATTAAAGGCCTTTGGCAAGAATGTACGCAAAAGCCAGGATTGATTCAACGCAAACATCGCGACTCTTCAGCCGCTCATCGAAGCAAAGAGGTATGCCCTGCAGAACTACCAGCGTAATCCATCATCTAGCTCTTTGGAAGCACTTCGGGAGGCCAGGCGTCGTGCGAATGTGAAATATAAGATCTATGCTAACAACTTTTGGATGAATCTCTGTGCTGAAATCCAGTCAGCTGCTGACACTGGAAATTCTAGGGGCATGTTTGAGGGTATCAAGAAGGCGATTGGACCTACACAGTCCAAGTCCTCACCACTCAAAACATCAACTGGTGAAATCATTACTGATAAATCAAGACTGATGGAGTGCTGGGTGGAATACTATAGCGAGCTCTATGGTAGATCGAGCTCTGTCTTACCCTCTGTCCTTGACTGCATTGAAAGGCTTCCCATCATGTTTGAACTAGATGAGCCCCCCACCAAGGAAGATCTCTCAAAGGCAATCAGTCACATATCGTCTGGAAAGGCCCCTGGGCTTGATGGTATCCCGGCTGAAGTCTTCAAATGCAGTGGAAACCAACTGCTCGACAATCTCCACCAGCTACTCTGCAAATGCTGGGAAGAGGGATACGTTCCCCAGGAGATGAGGGATTCTATTATCTCAACCCTATACAAGAACAAGGGAGACCGCAGTGATCGTAACAATTACCGTGGCATCTCACTTCTGTGCATTGCTGGAAAGCTGTTTGCCCGAGTAGCATTATACCGCCTTCAAAAGATTGCTGAAAGGGTGTACCCTGAATCCCAGTGTGGTTTCCGCTCTAATCGGTCGACTGTGGACATGATTTTCTCTTTGAGACAGCTCCAGGAGAAGTGCAAAGAGCAACAACAGCCACTCTACATTGCATTCATCGACTTGACGAAGGCGTTTGACCTTGTTAGTAGAGACGGCCTTTTCAAGATTCTGCCCTTACTTGGCTGTCCTCCTAAACTCCTGAGCTTCATCAAATCGTTCCATGATGGGTCTCGGGGTACAGTGCAGTATGACGGAAACAGGTCTGAGGCATTCGATATAAACAGCGGCGTAAAACAAGGATGTGTGCTAGCCCCAACTCTCTTCAACATCTTTTCAGTTCTAGTGAATCATGCTTTCAAGTCCTTTGAAGAAGGCATCCTGATACGATCTCGTTCTGATGGTAAACTCTTCAACCCTGCGCGCCTTAGAGCCAAGACCAAAGTGCGCAAGGTAGCCATCCGTGACCTTCTCTTTGCCGATGATGTTGCCCTCGTTGCTCACAGCGCTGAAAAACTCCAACTCCTCCTCAATCAGTTTTCTGACGCATGTGAGGCCTTCAGACTTACAATCAGCCTAAAGAAGACGAAAGTCATGTGCCAGGCAAATGCAGCCACGCCTGCCGTAACAATCAAAGATTACACCTTGGAAGCCGTCACACAGTTTACCTATCTCGGCTCCACCACCTCCAACAACAACTGCCTTGAAGTGGAGATTGGAAAGAGAATTGGCAAGGCTGCAACCAACATGGCTAAGCTGTCTGCCCGTGTCTGGGAGAACAAGAAGCTAACTACCCAAACTAAAGTTGCTGTGTATCGTGCCTGCATCGTGAGCACCTTATTGTTTGGTAGCGAGTCTTGGACTACCTACGCTAGTCAGGAGAAGCGCTTGAACATCTTCCATATGAGATGTCTTCGTCGCATCCTCTCCATCTCATGGACAGATAAGGTCTCTAACAATGAGGTACTTGCAAGAGCCAATATCCCCTCGATGTTCACCCTGCTAAGACAGCGCAGATTGAGGTGGCTCGGTCATGTGTACCGGATGGAGGATGGGCGAATCCCTAAGGATCTGCTGTATGGCGAGTTGGAATCCGGTTCGAGGCCTATTGGCAGACCTAAGCTGCGTTTCAAGGACGTATGCAAGAGAGATATGCTCGCCACTGGCCTGCCAACAGATAACTGGGAGCTACATGCTGCAGATCGGAGTGATTGGAGGTCTGTGTGCAGTCTGGCTCTCCAGGCGGGAGAGGAAAGGCTGAAAGCTGAAGCCGTTGATAGAAGAGCTAAGAGAAGAGCAGAAATGAACAAAGCAACGTGTGTTCCAGTGGCATGTGTCTTTGTGTGCAGTGGATGCGGCCGTGTCTGCCGTTCTAGAATTGGGCTTTTTAGCCACGAGAGAAAGTGTTTTTATTACTATATATATATATATATATATATATATATACATATATATAGTTTACATAATATTCTGAATGATGACTTAATATTCTGAATGATTGACACTTAAAGTAAAAGCAGTACCTCTTAATGATAAAAAACATGATCACGAAGCTAATTTTTGTAATTGGCCCATGGGCATTGCGGTAGAATAATTCTTTTCTCGTTTGGTTTTCTTGCTGGTGTTTTATCCACCTCTTCAACGCCTGTTCCTAGATTACCGGTATAACAGTGAATAAACATTATAAAGACATTGACAGATATCACAGATGGATGTGGCTATGGCAGGAATTTCAAACTCCCATGGGAAGGCATATCGCTAGAAAATTATGTTTCAATGGCAATCTAACTTTTATTTACAAATTAAAACCTAAAAAAACATGAAGGCTCTGCAGTTAATTTAACTTCAATTTAAGTCCAGTAGGACCCCGCTTACTCGAACTCGGTTCACTCAAACCCACCAGTAACTCGAACAACTCTGATTTCCCTTAACCCATGTTTTTCAGTCAATTACTATCAGCTAGCTCAAACACTCCCTAACGTGAACCATATTTTGTTCCCCTTGCGAGTTTGAACAGGGTCATTCTGTTTATACATGCACCCTCAGATCCTAAGCTGCTGTCTTCTGTTGCAGCCAGTACGTCATGAAATTTGAAGTCTGATCTGAGAGATTTCTTAGTCCTGGCCCTCTCATTCTTATTGTTACCAAATTCCTTTCGACTTGCAGGGCTTGGGTTAATGCATTTGGAAGCTACTTCCTTGTCTCCACTGAGCAACAACGACAACAACAACAAGCTTCATTACCAAATTGAGAAGTTAATACAAAAAAAAGGTAACATTTACTGAGAATAACTGAAAAGCTAATCTAGCTGAGTAAAAGTAAATAATGTTTAAATATAGGACGTAGGTTGGCACTAAAGCTTGAGCAAAGAAAATTATCAGTCAAAAGAAAAAAGAGGACAAAAAATAAATAAAGAAAAATAAGATAAAGAAAAAGAAAAGGAAGGGACCAGTTGAAAACTCATGAACAGTAAGACTGTACGATGTTTAGTTTGACTTTGTTTTTAAATGTTTTAAGGGGGAGATGTTTAATGCTTTCGTCAAGGTGATTCCAAACTTTTACATCTGCAAAGCGAATGTTGAATTTACCATAGTTCGTTTTGATGGTATTAATATAATAGGTTGATTTAGAAGCAAACCTGGTATTGTAAGAGTGCATGGATGCTACTGTTTGAAAAAGGTGGAAGAAGATTATAGTAATAGTGATACATAAAAAGTGCATTGTGAAGGATAACAAGATCAGTTAATTTAAGAATCTCTAATTCCTTAAAGAGAGGCTCAGATTGTTCATCTGATTTTGAGAAAGTTATGGTATGTATAGCTCTCTTTTAAAGAATTATTAAAGGTTTAAGAGTAGAACTATAAGTATTCCCCCAAATTGATAAACTATAGGTGAGGAAGGGGTAAATAATTGAATAATATAATTGATGTAATATGTTTCTGTTTACATAACATCTAACTTTAGATAGTACTCCAATACCTCTTGAAACCTTCTTGCTCAATTCGTGTAAGTATGGTTTCCAGTTCAAATTGGAGTCAAAAATGAGACCTAAATATTTAATTTGATTATCAGATTTAACAGATGTATTGGAGATACTAATATTCAACTTACGAGCTATTCTTCTTTCTGGAGAATGGAATACCACAAAGCTGTTTTTTTCAATGTTCAAAGATAATTTGTTAGCATGTAGCTACTGGCTTACCTTTTCTAATTCTACATTTAAGTTGGTTTCTAGATTTAGAATGTTAGGAATATCAAGAAACAGGTTTGTATCATCAGAAAAAAAGGTGAAATTCTAAGATATTGGAGCATTTAGGTATATCATTAATGTATAAAAGAAAAAGAAGTGGGCCAAGCACTGACCCCTGTGGTACTCTACATGTAACAGTTTGGTAGTCAGAATTAGTACCAAACAAAGAGACAAACTGTCTTCTGTTACTTAAATAAGATGCAAACCAATCATTTACAACACCTCATATGCCATAATACTCCAACTTGTTTAATATAATTCTATGGTCAACTGTATCAAATGCTTTACATAGATCTAAGAAAATGCGAAAAAAAAGAGTAGGTGCCAATATTGATTGATCTTTGTATTTTATTGGTCAAGAGGAGAAGAGCATGGGTGGTCGAATGCTTTGATCTAGAGCCAAACTGATTATTGTGTAGAATAGAAAATTTCTCAAGATAGCTAATAATCCTATTATACATTAATTTTTCAATTACTCTATTAAATATGGAAAGTACGGAAATAGGTCTATAGTTGGAGACTAAAAAACTGGACCTCTTTTTGTGAATTGGAACTACTCTGGCTACTTTAAATTGATCAGGCACCAAACCAGTAGAAAATGAGCGATTAAAAAGCAGCTGAAGAGGGATTGGTAAAATGCCTTTTAAAGTCTTAAGAAGGGAGGTCGAAATACTAAATGAGCCACAAGCCTTGTTAGAACTTGGTGACATAATTATACTCTCAATCTCAGTTGAATTGGTACAGTACGTGATAAGAAGAAACTAGAGGCCTGTGGTGTATCTAGTGGATAACAATTAAATGGTAGATTTGGTTTAGGTACAGCTGATGCCAAGTTTTTTCCAGTATTAGAGAAGAATTTATTCAAATGATCAGCAATAGCTTTATCATTTGTAATCTCACGTTCATTAATAATTAATTTGCTGGGCAAGGTGGATTTTAGACATATCAGTTGCTTTATTCCTTCCCAAATTTCTTTTGTTTTTGCTTTGTTGATCATGAAATATTC